GAAGGGGTCCAGAGGAGGTTTACAAAAATGATCCTGGGGATGAAGGGTTTGTCACATGAGGAGTGGTTGAGGTCTCTGAATCTGCTGTTTAGAAGGATGAAGGGGGTGGAAAATCAGTAAAATCTACAAAATACTGACAGGCTGAGATAGAGTGGATGTGGAGAAGATATTTCCACCAGTAGGACCTGAGGACACAGCCTCAGAGTGAAGGGGTGACACCTTTAGAATTGAGATGAAGAGAATTTCTTCAGCTGGTATCGGTGAATCTGTGGAATTCATTGCTGCAGAAGGCTGTAGAGGCCAAGTCATTAGCATATTTAAGACAGGGATAGAGATGTAAGGGGATCTAGATTGGTAAGGGAATCAAGGGTTACAGGGTGAATGGGGTTGAGAAACATATCAACCAAGATCGAATGGTGGAGCAGACTTGATGGGCTGAATGGCCTAACTCTGCTGCTATGTCTTATGGTCTTATTATGATGCTGCTATTAGTAGGACCTTGCTGTGTGCTTTTTGATTGTTGCATTCTGACAAGTCAAAGAATATTTAATTGGCTATAAATATTTGGGATGTCCTGAAATCATGAAATGCACTATTTTTGTGCACATTTTCTAAATGCTTCCTTTTCCCACAGCAGGATAGTATTTAAAAGGCTGTTATGATGACTTTAAAAAAAAAATTAATTGAATCAGTTTGTTTTATGTTACCTTAAAGTTAAAACATATTTGAACTCAAATCTACCCCATGATTTAGAATTGGCATACCATCCTGGGACCAGACCGGTAAATAAAACTGCTTTCTCTTTCCTAGGCATAATACCCTGGCTATTGGAATAGCGGTGGATGTATTGGGTTGTACGGGGTGTGTTCAAGAGAGAGCTGCTGTATTAAATAAGATTATCGAAGTAGCACTGGAGCTGAAATATTCCATGGGAGATCTGTACGGTTTCTCTGCCATCATGAAAGCATTGGACATGCCTCAGGTATTTCTTTTCTCATGGTATCTTAAGCACCAAACTGCACCAATAAAGTTAATTGAATTATTATTGAATAGCTTCAGGTAAAGGCAAAGTCATCATAGTTCTACTGGACCGTAGAGCCTTGCTTAAAAAAAAATTCGTTGACAGAATTGAGTGTTACTGGCTAGGCAGCATTTGTTGCCCAGAGGGCAGTTAAGAGACAACTAAGCCATACCAGGTAAGGACAGCTATTTCCTTCCCTAGAGGATGCAAGTGAACCATGACAATTGGCAGTGGTTTCATGTTCATCATGAGGTTTTTAATTCCAGATTTTCATTAGTTCCAAAATCCATCATCTGCCATTGCTGGTTTTAAACCTAAATCCCCAGCGTATTACCTGGGTCTCTCGATTCATAGCCTAGCAATGATACCACAAGGCTATTGCCTCCCAATTAGCTCTCCTTAAACAGAGAGATGACTCGTGGAGATTTAACCATCTCAGGCAAGAAGAGAGTTTGAGAAAGCGAGTCCTTCATGGTAACCTCAGCCAATGTGAGAATTGAACCTATGCTTTTGGCATCGCTCTGCATTGGAAGGTAATTGAAGCAGGAAATCTCACAACCTTTAAAGTACTTGGTTGAGCACTTGAAATGTTATAATATTCAAGGATATGGGCCAAGTGCTGCGAAGTGGGATTAGTGTAGATTTATTTTGTTTTTGTCAGTGCCTGACTTTGCTGGGCCGAAGGTCCTGTTTTGTATTTTATAGTTCTATGATAAGTCAATCTTGTCAGAGTAGAGGTGATGGCTGAGAATAAGTTCCCATTCCATATTGCTAGCCAGAAACCCTGTGTGTGTTGAGTGTGTGTGTTTGTTGAGTGAGTGTGTGTGTGTGTTGAGTGTGTGTGTTGTGTGTGCGTGTGTGTTGAGTGTGTGTGTGCTGAGTGTGTGCTTGGAGGGCCGAAGGGCTTGTTCCTGTGCTGTAATTTTCTAAATTCTTTGTTGTTCTTTGTGTGTGTGTGTGTGTGTGTGTGTTGAGTGAGTGTGTGTGTGTGTTGAGTGAGTGAGTGTGTGTGTGTGTGTTGAGTGAGTGTGTGT